ATACAATAAAAATTAAACCAAGATTTAGAATAATTATCATTTTGATCCATATGGTAATGTCTGACTGGGCCTCGTGTCACTTTGTTGAACAAATTGGGCCCCGAGGTCAAAAAGGTTAAGAACCCCTGCAGTAGTCCAAACAAGAAGAACTGAACCTCATCGTCAGCCTGCTGCAGGCGAGCCACRGCGTAGCGCCTCACTGTCGGGTTGGTGAAATGGGAGGATAGCAGCTCCAGCGAGTCCTCCACGTCCATGGGCCTCCACTTCCCCAGCAGCTCCAGAGCTTGTTTGGCCTCCTGTGGCAGATCCCAGTTCACGCATTTCAGGAACTTTGTCAGCGCCTGGAGGTGAGGAGGAGTTGGTGAGAATGTGCAAACAGCAACCAAAGGAGCCTAAAAAGTCCGGGATGAGGAGAACCACCTTTTCCTGWGTGGTGAGGTAGTATCTGAACTTCCACACTAGATCCTGCTCCTCAGAGCTCAGCTGCTTGGTTGGAGGGTAGCTTACAATGATCTGTTGGCGACGCACACTTGTTGGATTAGACTCCCTGAAAACATAAAATGAAATAAAAATCATAAAAGCGTTCGCTCCTTACGTTGAGCTGGTCTCGTGTGGCAGCGTTAGGCTTCAGGTCGTGGTCCGACGGCCCGCTGCGAAGGCTACGAGCCAGTTTGTGGTGTTTACTCTCCACCAGATTCTCCTACGGGGGACAAATAAAAACACACGTGTAAAATATTAGRCGGCGCTTCGAACTGCCCAAAAACRTCTTTCAGAGTTTGTAAACGAGCTCTCGCACCATCCCCATTTGTGGGTCGGGGACTTTAACGATGTCAGAGCTGGTGGGAACGGGAGACGCTTCATCCCCGTCCTGAAAGGTAACAAACAAACAAAGAACACCCTCAGATGATTCAAGAATTCTTAATGATACATAAACCTGGTTTAATCCCAGCGGGGGAATACCTTCTCATAGTAGACGATGCTGTACTCCTTGTCGTTTGTTTTGACRCGAGGAAACTCCACCATGAGGTACATGAAGTTCGAGCTGCGCTTCTCAATCTGCAGAGACAGGCATTCTTCTCTAACCTAAAGAACTAACGCCAACATTTCCATGGCCTCGGCGCAGCTTTTGTGAAAGAATGGAGCCAAAACTCACCTCGTTGATCATCTCGATCTCTCTGAAGGTCAGCCGGTCCAGCCAGTCTACCTTCACCATGTGGCCCTGCCGATGAGCCTTCGTCAGCTGGACGGAGAGGGCAAATAAGAAGAGCTTTACAGAAAATAGCAAACGCTGACCGTGTCGTCGTACAACCGGCTGCAGTTTCGGACGATCATGCACAAACCAGCATCTCTGCTCTAATGCTCAGCAGCTCATCTGCTCCGTTAGCAAGTAAGAGCCGGTGTTAGCTTTGAATTAGGACTGCAAGATATCAGGGAAACCTGCCATAACTGTAGTAGGGCTGTGTGGTATATGAGGTAGATGGTAGAAACGGTTTGAAGTTGGCCTACGAAAATTTACCCTCTACCGTCATTACGTCATCGCACCTGTGTCAACAGGGCTGCGAGTGCAGAGACAACTGAGCAGGAGGAGTTCAAAATATAATGAAGAAATTCTAGCATTTTAAAACACGTATAGAGAGAATAAATCCCCAAAATTTCCTCCTCCCACTGTAGAAAAAGTTACGTTGTGTCGTGGGACCATAATCTCTTCCTCCCTCTCCTCTCCTCTCCTGCATCTACGCATGTTTGTAGAAAGTAGTTGAAACCAAAATATCTCCAAATAGGAGAGCTGTTTTTTTTAAAAGGCCCTGTCACATCGTAACGTTTTAGACAACTTATGCAAACGTGAACATTTTGTTATGACTCTTTTACTCATATTAGCCATATATTTAAGCTAACTCTTAGCATTACAGTTTGTATAGGTCCAAAAGAGGCTTCCAGTAGATTATTTTTAAACTTCATCTTCAGCTTAGACATCTTTAGTGTTGGACAAACTTGTCATTAGTTAACATAAGGTGTCTAAAATGTTACAGTGTGACAGGGTCTTAACCACGAGATCTTTGTCGCTAACATGTTCCTGTTATACATTACATTTCTTACTTAGCCTGCTCTGTTGTTTGCTACCTCCCGTGTCCACACAGGGAGCAGGCATTTAATGTAGAGATCCCCCCCAAATATGTGAGGGGCTTCATTTGATTGGTCAAACACTTGACGTTTCAACGTGACTGACAGAATGCATAAATGCAAAAATCTGAGCCAACCATTTACTGCAGTTTACACAGTTTTTTTTGGCGATATGCCTATTGCACAAGCTATCATCGTGATTACAATAAATTTTCGATATACTGTGCAGCCCTATTTTGAATTTAAAGTCACACGACATAATTAGAAGTGTGTTTTAAAAGAGGAATCTGTGAGCAAGMCAAAAACATTAAGGTGAACACCAATTTAAACACAACAAAACAAAAAACAATTTCTATATTGCAAAAAATTTGTCATCCGTTAGCCAACTGTTTTGAATTACACACCAAGATAAAACTCATGCACACACACTGAAACACACAAACAAACATATGACAACAGCAGAAACCTTTAAAACGTGTGTGACGCTTTCAGGAGCACAGCCATACAATTGGACAYACAAGTGTCCACACCACAACCGGAGTCAAAATGTATTTTGTCAAATATTTTAATCTTTAARAAGCTCCCCTTATAGAACAAAGCAAAGGGGTCAGAAACTCGTAACGTCCTGTAACTGTCTAACATGTTCTAATTAGCTGTAATAATGTATAAAAGTGAAGGTTTTTATCCAAATCCATTTTGACCAGAGTTTTCACACAGARAGCACACGTCGCTCCTCCACTTGTACTCACATCACTGAGTACCTCCAGGTCAGGGCCCTGGAACAGATGACGGTTCAGACATGATTCTGCATTCCACCGTTTTCCTGTTCCCCTTCAGTGCTGCGTTTCCCCCTTCTCTTTCACACAGATCACAAACACTCCCTCTCTCTCACACACCTCCTCTTCCTGATCGCGTCCCTACCTTGGCAAGTCTGCCCATCTGGTCCTCCGCCAGGCTGCTGCTGGTGCGTCCCGGTGTGGTGGTGGGCTCCCCTCCGTCGCCCTCCACACCGGGCCAGACCTTCAGGTCGTGCATCCCYTGCCGGAACATACTAGGACAAGAAAAGTGACTTGACGTTTAGCGCAGCGCTTAGTGCTTAAAGTGACAAGTTCAGATAGTTTTGAAGTAGGGTTCTGTGAAAAGCTTTCGAACAGTTAATGTCTTACCTGCTGCAGATATCTCTTTGAATACCGTATTTTTCGGACTATAAGCCGCACCCGCCATTTTTTAAAAAAAATCCGCGAACATTAACAT